CTTCACATATATATACAGTACAGCCCCTCCTCCTGATGTCCCGCCTTCCACTCCCCATAGGATGGAACTTTCCCTCCAAACCCATGACAGACAGGTAACATCAGTGCTGTATGTAACTTGCTATTCTTTGGAAGTCAGCATTCAATTTTCTGTAACTTTCCCTATCTCCTTTGCATTTTGTTTCCATTCTCTTCTCTGCTATTTGTAAGGCCTCGTTGGACAGTCACTTTGCTTTCTTGCATTTTCTTTTCTTTGGGATGGTTTTTGTTGCTGCCTCCTGTACAATGTTACGGGACTCCATCCATAGTTCTTCAGGCACTCTGTCCACCAAATCTAGTTCCTTAAATCTGTTCTTTACTTCCACTGTGTATTCATAAGATTATACCTGACTAGCCCAGTGGGGTTTCCTACTCTCTTCAGTTTAAGCTTGAGTTTTGCTGTAAGAAGCTGATGATCAGAGCCACAATTAGCTCCAAGTCTTGTTTTTGCTGACTGTATAGATCTTCTCCATCTTTGGCTGCGGAAAATATAATCAATCTGATTTCGATAATGCCCATCTGGTGATTTCCATGTATAGAGTCGCCTCTTGTGTTGTTGGAAAAGAGTGTTTGCGATGACCAGCTTGTTCTCTTGACAAAATTCTATTAGCCTTTGCCCTGCTTCGTTTTGAACTCCAAGGCCAAACTTACTTGTTGTTCCTTTTAGCTCTTGACTTCCTACTTTAGCATTCCAGTCCCTTAAAATGAGAAGAACATCTTTCCTTCGTGTCAGTTCTAGAAGGTGTTGTAAATCTTCATAGAACTGGTCAATTTCAGCCTCTTCAGCATCCGTGATTGGTGCATAAACCTGGATTACTGTGACATTGAAAGGTCTGCCTTGGATTCGTATTGAAATCATTCTATCATTTTTGAGACTGTGTCCCAGTACAGCTTTTCCCACTCTTTTGTTGACTATGAGGGCTACTCCATTTCTTCTATAGGATTCTTGCCCACAGTAGTAGATATGATAATCGCCTGAGTTGAATTCGCTCATTCCCATCCATTTTAGTTCACTGACGCCCAGGATGTCAATGTTTATTCTTGCCATCTCCTGTTTGACCAATCCAGCTTACCAAGGTTCATAGATTTTACATTCCAGGTTTCTATGCAGTATTTTTCTTTGCAGGATCGGACTTTCCTTTCACTTCCAGGCATGTCCACAGCTGAGCATCCTTTTGGCTTTGGCTCAAGCACTTCATGAGCTCTGGAGCTACCCGCTCTTCCTCAGTAGCATGTTGAATGCACTCCGACCTGATGGGCTCATCTTCCAGCGTCATATCTTTTAGCCTTTTGTTTCTGTCCATGGAGTTTTCTTGGCAAAGATACTGGAGTGGCTTGCCAGTTCCTGCTCCAGATGGATCGCGTTTAGTCAGAACTCTCCACTATGACCAGTTCGTCTTTGGTGTTCCTGCACGGCATCGTCCATAACCTCTCTGAATTACTCAAGCCCCTTCGCCACGACAAGGCAGCACTCCATGAAGGGGCTATATAGACTTACTGGAAAGTAAATAAGCAACTCGATGGCGATTCCTGATGAGTAAGCATGCATACAAGTGAGTTCAAATAACTATGGAATATGAAATAGAAAAATTCTAGTTCTATTTTACAGAAGGGAAATATGAGTTTCAAAGTTGTAGCAGGTCTGTAACATCAAACAGAGAAATGATGCTCAAACCTCATTCATCCTAAGAGATCCACAGCCTACAAGCAGAAAGTAGAACACGTTATCCAAACCACAGCAGCTGTACTCCCCAAACCAGTTAAACAGGAGTACTTAAGTTTTTAAGCCATTTGCACTAAGCAAGAAAGCTAACACCCAGGAGGAAGGGACAGTCTCCCTAGTACAAAGAGGACTAGCCTTCCATGCCTCCAGCAATTGTCACTGCAGACACCAAAGTCCCAGTTTCTATCCCGGGAGTCAACGTTGGAATAGCAAAAGGGGGATGTAAGGGGGGGGGAAAGATATGGGTAAAGAGGTCTGAATACTTCTAGCCAAAAGTCGCCTACCCCCATGTATCAGACTGCAATGGAGCGATTCTTCCCAGTTGGCTGTGAAATGGAAAGATGAAAGGAAAAGGTTAGGCTGCCAGGGCAAGCTGGTCACTGCATGTACTGGAATAAAGCCTTAGCAAAAAATTGTTCTGGAGGCGAGACAGAGATACAAAGCCACAAACACCGTGGAGTTGGTGCCAACTTTCAGGCTCTGAATATGCACTTTAGAACACTTCCTCCATGTGCTCCTTTCAATGTGTCCTATTGAGGACAACCACACGGTCCATTATACATGCCTATTCATTATATATGCTCATTAAACCCCACTGAACTCCATCATTTTTACCCCTCAGCACTCAAACGAGGCCCTCTGAGTTCCCCTTTCTGGCTCCCAGCTCTGCTCAGCTGGCTGCTGGACTACAACCCCCATCATCCCAGGCAGCATTTTAGTCCAATACATGTGGACGGCGCCAGGTTTGGGAACCCCACCAGCCCCTTCCTACTCCTTAGCGCTCCTCTGATTTTTTTAACCCCTGCCCCACAGCTGTAGCCCAAGTGAACGATACCCACATTTCATTATAGCCAGATCCTCTTGCTCCACTGAGCACAACTCTCTTCCCAAACACCTTCAGACGACAACCCATAAGTCTCCTGAAACTTTATCAGCTAAATACATGCATTCCCTCCAACACATCCTTTCCCCCTAGATATATCCCACATCCCTTATACAGATTCCAAGCCCCTACAACATACGCGCGTTTATGTATTCACTATTAAACAAGGCAAAAAAAACCCACGTATTTAAACTGAGGGGACCACAAANNAGTGTGCACCAGAGGGGGGGGGGGGGGAAGCAGCAAAATGATTTTGTATTCTCAAGGCTTTCACGGCCGGGATCCGATGGTTGTTGTAGGTTTTTCGGGCAGTTTGGCCGTGCTCTGGCTTATTCTACTTGTATTTAAAGGCATGTTCGCACCTTTCTCGCGGGACCTCCCTCAATTCCTCGCCTATTTTCCCACTTACCCCTCTATTTGTCCCACCGCTCCTTGTTTAACTTAATGCTTGTTTAACTACCGTGCCCACTTTAAACCCCCTTTTCCCCCGCTGTCTCCTTATCTATCCCTCGCAGATCCGCACAACCCCACTCACCCTCGTCCGGACGAGCAGTAGGGCAGACCACTCCGA